GATCTTCCGCCCGCATACACTCGGACCCCATTCAGGAGGCTTCTAGATAATCGAGGAGCATTCTGGGATCATCTTGCGAAAGAGTAGACGCACGAAAGTGAAAAATGCACGGGGAGTGGACGTCCGATCGATGGCAAGGAGGGGGGTGAGGACCAGGGGACGTATTCTGCCGCACAAGAGGGTGACAGCATGGCTCGGGCCATTAAAGCGTCTCTGATGTCATGGCCCCCTCTTCTTCTCACTCTTATAGTGAGTGGCATGTTTCGCATCGCTTGTATGTATCATTGCTATTGTTAATAGTGTGGGTTGGTTCACGCGTTTCCGTCCATCGGATTGGCATTATTGTATTGCTAGTGTCCTATTACTTGTCGAAGTAGAGTGATCATCGCTAGTAGTATTAGCTGTCGCTCTCGTCTTCTTCTGATTCGCACCGTTCGCTGTAGCATTGCTAATGTTATTGGCAGCCTGAATACGAGTAGAGTTGTTGTTTGTGCGTCGTCTTCTCAGTATGGTTATCTGGTTAGTGTGCTCATTACTGCGCGCATTAGTTTCATCATCATTACGACTAGTCGTATTCTCGATTCAGTGCGTTCCTTCCCTCTCCCCCTCACGCGCGCACATGCCTCCTGCACGCCCTGCCTGCCGCGACGCGTCTGCGCGCACTCCTGCCCCGCCCCCCGTGAATACCGCAGCAGACTCGTGCGCGGGCTGCCGCGAGCCCGCTCGCTCCGGCCACGACGCCGGCGGCTTCCTCCAGGGGTCGCGCTCCGCGGGGCCCCGAAGCGGAACGGTCGAACGGGGCACGGAAAGACGGTCGACGAAGACGGACGGCAGTTCTTGTCCGTTTGGGGCAGGCTTCGCTCTCGGCGTCGCCGAGGCCGTTGTGGGCTGCAGGCAGGGAGCCGCCTGCCGAGCAGCGGCCGTCGCCGGATGTGAGCAGCAGCCCTTGGCGGGGGGAACACCCCCCGCGCCAGTGAGCGTTGGCCGGTGAGCTTCAGGAGGGAAAGAAACACACAGACACAATTAATCGTCGACTCCCAGGAAAATATGCAAAAATATGGGAAGTGGTGGGGAAGACAAAAACCCAGAAAATATGGGAAAATATGGGGGATATTTTTATTTGTGTGTATTTATTTGTGTGTTCCAGTTCCCCTTCAGAGCTGCCGGGCATCAGAGTAGGAGGAGGTACCGGTTCCGGGGCTTGTCCTGGAGAGCCCTCGTCGCCACGGCTGGATGCTCCCCGAAATTCGGGGCGGAACGCACCACGGAGAGGTCGGCCACGCGCGCAAAGGGAAGAAGGGGAGAAGGGCGGAGGCTTCTTTGAAGGAGGCTGCTTCTCAGAAGGCGCGGGCCTTACCTATAGACTTAGGCGCGGCGCCTTCAAAGGAGCAGCCTCTTTCTAAGGAGCCTTCGCTCTCTCCCTTACCCCGTTTTCCTCCTCCTCCTCCTCCTCCTCCTCCTCCTCCTCCTCCTCCTCGTCCCTCCTCCTCCTCCCTCACCTCCTCCTCTCCCTCCCTCCTCCTCCGCCTCCTCGTCCCTCCCTCCTCCTCCTCCTCCTTCCCTCCTCCTCCTCCTCCTCCTCCTCCTCCTCCTCCTCCTCCTCCCCCTCCCCCTCCCCCTTCCCCTCCTCCTCCTGAAGGGCCTTCCTGCGCGCTGCCAGAGGAAGAGGTCTGGGGAGTAGCCGGTATCGGGTACCGTTCTGCTCCTCCGGCGCAGGCTCGGCCGTGGGAGGGGGGCGGCATCGGCTGGTCCCCCGGGTCTTTGGGTGTCCGCTCTTCAGGAGGAAAAGAAACACACAGACACAATTAATCCTCGATTCCCCAGAAAATATGGGAAAGTATGGGAAGTGGGGGGGAAGACAGAAACCCAGAAGATATGGGGAAATGTGGGGAATCTGTTATTTGTGTGTATTTGTTGTGTGTGTGTGTCCTGGGGCCCCTTCAGTTCTGCGGGTCGTTGGCGGAGGCCACAGCGGCAGGGAGGAGACTGCGGAGGCCGCAGCGGCGGAGGGGGAGCGAGGGAGTGAGAGGAGAGGGCGGTCGTGAGCGGGAGGCCAGTCGGGATTGCCCCCCATGTTCGTTCGTCCGACGGCGAAGACAGAGGGAGGAGAGGGAGCGGGAGGAGGAGGGAAGAGAAGGGGACGGAGATTTAGATGATCCTCTAATCTTCGCGTTCCCTCCACGATCACCTCAGGACGTTGATCTCCCTCGCCAGCTTGGAGTGGCCTGGGGCACGTCCTTTTCTCCAAAGTCTTCAAGTATTCGAGCCCCGTACATGCGGGCTCGTACTCTTTGGCAAGTTTGCCAGTCGAGCGGAAATGATCAGTGCGCGCCGAGGCACTGCCCCACCTCCCGCGGGGCGCTGGCAGCAGGAGCGAAGAGCTTGGGGCCCTGGCAGGGCACACGGAGCCATTAGATTACTGCTAATTTGCACCTGTTGGTGGTCCCGAGCCACAGGTACGACAGTGCCAGTGGCGACGACGACGGCGACCCGAATTCCTTCTTCCTAGCCTGGGCAAGGTGTCCCTGAGAGCGGCGGTCAGGTCGAGGATTTGCTTGGCCGTCCCCTGCGCCGCCGCCTTTCCCTCGGCTCCGACCAAGGTTGGCCCGCAAGAAAGGATGGAGGTCAGTCGCTTTCGAACGGCTCTCGCTTCTGCCTCGAGCTTACGAGACTCGGCAGTCCCAGGGGGAATTCGAGCGTCGGGGGAAATCTCAGCCGACTTGTCAGCCAGGTCGTTGAAAGCAAAGAGCGGACGCATCTCGGGGCTGGATCTCCGCAGCCCCGCTTCCGAGACGTGGCTCTCATCCTTGAAAAGTTGCTTCCCGTCAGCTCACGCACAAGATCTCATACATCTACGTAGCACCCCGCAATTGCGGATAAGAGTGAGGGGGCGGGCGCGGGCGACGCGGGCGTCGTCGAGCCGGCGGACCTCGTGGCCCCCACCTTCCTTGTCGATGGCGCTCTCCTCCTCCTCCTCCTCCTCCTTCTCCTCCTCCTCCTCCTCCTCCTCTTCCTTCTCCTCCTCCTTCCTCAGCCTGCCTCTCCCCTCCCGCCATCCTCATCCGAGTCCCTCGTCCTGGTCCTCTTCCTCGTCCTAGTAGTCGTCCTCGTCCTCATCGTCATCGTCATCCTCCGCATACCCCTTACTCCATCCGCCTGCCTCATCACCCTCCTCCTACTCGTCCTTCTCGTGCCACCGTGCCTCGGCATCCTCCCCCCTGTCGTCCTTCCCATCATCGTATCCCATTGTCGGCCTCCCCATATCATCGGCCTCCAGAATCCGGCCTCCCAGTAGTCGTCCATTCAACGGGCCTCACACCCCCTCCTCCACCACGCCTCCCCCTTGTCTCCCCCTCCTCGTCACTCCATTCTCCCCCGCCTCCCCCCTCTTTCGCTCCTCAGCCGAAGCCACTACTCATCCCGCCTCCTCCTCCTCCTCCTCCTCCTCCTCCTCCTGTTTCTCCACATTCTCCTTACATCCTCTCTTCTTCCGCGTCCTCCTCGTCCCTTTTTTACTCCTCCTGCCTCCCCCGCCTTTTCCAAACCTAACGGCAACGCAATCCTTGTTTCCATTTTATGTTCCCCGACTTCTCTGATCAAGGCAACTCGCCAGGGCAAAGTTGCTGGACGGGCTTGTGTGGATGCGCGGGGCTTGACGAGGTCGTTGTGGGCTCAGACGGCATGCAGCAGTCCGCCGCCGCGCTTCTGCGGCATTGGTTAGTTCAGTGAACGTGGTTTGGGTCGAGGGTGGGTCGCGGGTTTTCCACCTCCACCTGGAAGGAATGCAAAAGCAGCCCGCCGCAGGCGCCGAACAATTTGGTTTGTACACTGAACGTGGTTTGGGTCGCGGGTGGGCCGCGGGTTCTCCACCGGGAACGAATGCAAAAGATGCCTGCCGCAGGCGCCGAAAAAATTGATGCGCCCTGAACGTGGTCGCGGGCGGGCCGCGGGCTCTCCACTTGAAACGAATGCAAAAGATGCCCGCCGCAGGCGCCGACAAATGTGGTTTGTACCCTGAACGCGGTTTGGGTCGCGAGTTGGTCGCGGGGTGGGTCGCGGGCTCTCCACTTGGAAGGAATGGTGGTTTGTACCTTGAACGTGGTTTGGGTCGAAGGTGGGTCGCGGGTGGGTCGCGGGGTGGGTCGCGGGTGGGTCGCGGGTGGGTCGCGCGTGGGTCGCGGGTGGGTCGTGGGGTGGGTCGCGGGGTGCGTCGCGGGGTGGGTCGCGGGGTGGGTCGCGGGGTGGGTCGTGGGGTGGGTCGCGGGGTGGGTCGCGGGTGGGTCGCGGGTGGGTCGCGGGTGGGTCGCTGGGTGGGTCGCGTTGTGGGTCGCGGGGTGGGTCGCGGGGTGGGTTGCGGGTGGGTCGCAGGTGGGACGACGATCACAAACAACAGCAGCAACAACAACAACAGCAACAACAACAACAATAACAACAACAATAACAACAACCACCACAACAACAACAGCAGCAGCAACAGCAACAACAACAACAACAACGACAGCAACGACACCGACACCGACAACGACAACGACAACGCAACAAACAGATTTCCCACCACGAATTCCTTATTCAACCACGCACCCAGGGCTAATGAATGACCGTTCTTCCCCCTTACTCTGATATATACATATGTCTATATATATGTATATGTATATATTTATCTCGCCGCAGTGCCTTCTGTGTAATTCAGTGGCAATGGCAGCCGTCGCGGCGGACTACCGCCCGAGGGCGTTCAGGACCATTTCTCCTCTTCCTCCTCCTCCTCCTCACTTCCTCCTTCTGTTCCTCCTGTTCCTCCTCCCCTCCCCCTCGTGGGTAAGAAAGGAAGGAGCAGAGAGCAGGGACCGGGGGAACATAGCTATCGAGGGTAGCGATAGAGGGGAAGACGTAGGAGGGAGAAGGGGTCGGTCCGCGAGTTGCCGAGTGAAAGGGATGGGATATTTATGCTTGTGCGGGGGAAGATGGGACCAGCAACCACATCTGCTTAAGATAAGAAGGGACGTACGATGACGGGGATGTGCATGCAGCAGTAGCTGTGGCAGATTATGTTCGCAGTCCTTTCATGGAGCGCCCGGCGCCAAGGCGAGTCCCAGGACGACAACTTCGATCCAGGCTTTGATCCTGGGTCTGGCCCTGTGGGCAAGGACGCACCGCGGGGGGGGGAGGTGGAGAAGCGAGACAGGACGAAACGCGAATGAGGCAGTAGGAATAGGAGGAGGCGGAGGAGGAGGAGGAGGAAGAGGATGAGGATAAGGAGGAGGACGACGAGGCTGAGGAGGCACAGGAGGGGAAGGAACAGCGGGATGAAGAGGAGAAGGAAGAGGAGGAGGAGGAGGAAAAGGAGGAGGAGAAAGGACGAGGAAGACGACGGCGAACAACATGACGAGGAGGGCAAGGACATGGGCGACAAAGACAAACGCGAGATGGCGCAGGCGCGGGGGGGAAGGGAAACAGGACGGGGGAGGAAGAGGAGGAGGAGATGGAACATTGGGAACATTGGGGTTAAATGACAACGTAGGTCAAAACAGTGCCCAGAAAGCAAGTGCAGAACTTACAATATCAGGAGGAGCCCAAAGCCTCCCGCACCGCTTTGGGGGGGCCTCCTGGGTGAGGGTATTCGCCTCGCTCGATGCGGGCCAGGTTCTGTCTGCCCTTGGCCGAGGGCTCACATCGAGGGACGAGCTGCTGTGCATCCGTCGTGCACGTCTTCCCGCATTGGGTGCAAAAAATAAGCATGAATTTCCGCCAGAAATGGAGCCGATGGGTTTCGTGGAAGGTTTTCCCCCCCACGACCCGCGGGCCCGAATAGGGCGAGAACTCCTGAGTTCCACCGCCCCTGCAAGGAGATTCACAAACATGGAAAATCGAGTCCTGGTTTGCAAGCAAATCGCACCTCCTGCACCAAAACTTCGGGCCCGCACGGGCCCACACATGAGGCGAGTCCCGAAGCGAGCGAGCAAGTCTCGGGAGCGCAGCCTCGCCTCTGCTGGTGGGCTGCCATTCCGCGGTCCATGGATCAGCGAGGATACAACACGCAAGGGCTCTCCGCGCACGCCGACGGATCAGCGAGGCCATGGCACCCCGCTCATCAGTGCACGGTACAGGGGAGACCACATACTGAGACCAGGCGATCTCGGCCATGAATCCAGCCAGCGAGTCTGCGGATTCATTACCAAACATATGAAAAACCGGTTGCGCAGTCGGAACAGGCACTTGATCGAGCTCTACATGAGAGGGCGTCCAGACTATATCGGTCACACCAGGTCCGCGGGAGGCGACAGCCTTAAGGATATCGGACCAGAGATCAGCGTTCGAACCCAACACCCAGCTCGACACACCAACACGCTGAATTCTGCTCCAAGTATCCACCAACGGCCTGTGATCGGTGACAAAGCGCAGATTACTAGAAGACACATTGAGCGCCATGAGAAACGCCAAGAGCTCCGCGCGAGGCACAGACTGCCTTCTGCCCTCGAGAGTGGACCCACGTCCCGCGGAGGGCTCCCACGACGATCCGACAGGAGTGAGGCCGATGACCCCCGCCCCGACCCTGCGACGCCGAGGGTCGCTCGAGAAACGCCCCCCCCGACCCGTCACCGAAGATCGTCACAAAGCCTTCGGCGTCGCGGGGAATCAGGTCGAAGGATCCAAAATCAACAACCGTAGGGGGGAGAGGAGCGAAGGAAGGCACGGTCTCACTCACTCCAGGCACGCCTCGAAGCCAAAATCCTGGATACGCCTCGTGCTGTGCTTGTGCCTCTGGGTACAAATGTTGGGAATCATCGAAATCCTTATGCTGGGTGTTAGCGGAACATTCCCACACTCTGTGGAACAGGGACCCAGGTTTCTCATGGCATCGAGGACACAAGCTGGGCACCACGTAGCCTGCATCCCTCAGCCTCTGGCGAGGCCACTGGCCTCCACTCACCACCACGAGGTTGAGCGCAACCTGGTCCTCGCCGTTGGCATCAGCGAGCCGATCAAGTTCACGATGAATGTGCATCATATCAGCACCTCTGGCCAAGTCATCGCCTGCTTCATGATGTCCAGCGGCAGCCTGCAGCAGAGAATCCACCGTAGCTTCCACATCATCCAGCAGGTCCGTGAAGTCGGGGCTGAAGTCGGAGAAGGCCTCATCATCGCGCGACGGGATGGCCCAACCATGAAACTCAGACTCCCAATTCATGGGACTGTGCGGAACCCAACCAATATCCATGAGCGTGGCAATCGTAGCACCAATAGGGCCCTTGACGACCCTCCAACGCCGAGTACCTGCCAAACGCAACCGAGATAAAATCTTGCCCCAGCTTAGAGCAATCCGAGCATGGAGATCAGGATGCTCTCGCCGCATCTTCAACCAAGCCGCCAAGTGTTCACGACGAATGACCTTAGCAGGATCACGCCTCCCAAGGGCTGCTGCCATAGAAGGCGTGAGACAACGGCCAGGACCAGAGCCAACCGCACTCTGTGCCGCCTGTCGCCTCAACTGCACCAAGAGGTGACGAGGGGCACCATGCGCTTGATGAGCATAAGTCCCTTGCGGCTTCGCTCCAGTAGACCACAGCGCACTGGTGACCTTGCGGAGCTTGGCGTGCTTGCTCATGCGACGAATAGCCATGGCCCGCGACTTGGCTCTCTTGACACGATCCCACGCCTTGTGTCGGGAACGGTACCTGCCAGCAGAAACATCCATCCCAATATCCACATCATGCCGAACTGCAGTGACTGGGACTCCCGCACGTCGAAGCCCATTGCAGACCTTGAGAGACAGGGAATCTGACGAGGAGATCACCGCAGTCTTGGGGCTAACTGTCAGCCCCGCGGCACCGAAATCGCTGCACCACGCACTCCCAGACTCCACCAAAAGGCCGCCAACAACACTCTCAGGACCTTCGCAACCCTCAGCACGGTGTCGTCCACGAAGGTGCGCGGCGTGATTCGGCCTTCGAAGCGCTGCTGTGCTCGCTGAAGAATTGGCCCTGAGAAGGCCTTCGCGAGTCGCCCACCATTCAATGAGCCAGCGACAACACTGCGTTGCGGCAAGATCTGCTTGCCAATCGAGTTCTGATTATTCAGATGACGGGGAGCCATGAACACCTGAACCTCAGGAGCCAGAACCTGAGGAGGAAACCCTTGCTGCAAGGCTGAGACACATAATAATGAGAAAGACAAGCTGTCGTAGAACTTCTCCAGATCCAAAAGAAGCATCGACGAGGCGATTCCCATCTCGCGGCAACTCTCATCCATGCACGAGCGGATCAGCGCAGCCAGCAGCGCCGACGAACCACGAACAGCAGTGTCCCAATGCTCCTCGAGGGCTTCGCTCCAATTTAACGTGTGCTGGCTTCGCAATCGGGCCCGCAGCCGTGCAAGGTGAGGCAGCAACCCCAAGATGCGATCCCTTCCTCTGGGCTTCGGTAGGATAGAAGCAATGACCATGAAAATTTGCTGCGGCCACAGACAACGAGCTTCAACAGCATGAAGTAGTTCAATCAGTTCAGCTTTGGCTGGCTCAGGCAGTCGCTGCAACTCGATGGGCCCCAGGGAATCCACTCCTTTGGCTTTCTTAGCGTTGGAGCGCGACAGAACAGCCTCCAAAGCCTCAGGGGTGATGTCCTCCAGCGGATCAGACCGAGTCCTACTTCTCAAGTACATGAAACCTGCCTGAACTCTTGTTGGGATCAGCTTTAGGATCACTCCAGATGCCACTCCATTCATCATCAGCCCGCAAGTCCATCATGCTGTTGGGCGTGGCGTAGATATCATTGCCTCGTATGAGCTCCGCAGGCTTGACTTTCTGGTCTCCCTTCACATGACGGTGTAACACTCCAGGGGAAGACTTCCACATTTTCAATACCCACGCCTGATGCCCTCTGCGAGCCTTGGTGAGCGCTTGGCCGAGAGCTCTAGATCGATATTTGTCGGCGGCCTCCATGAGCGCCTGGAGCTCATCGTCGTCGGCCCCGGCGATGTTAGAAACAGCGCCAAACCAACCAGCCCAATCACAATTGGGATCCTTGTCAAAATGAAAGTCAATGACAGAAGCGGCCTCAAGCAGCTCGCAAAGTTTGCGCGCGCACAAATCCAGCTCTTGAACATTCCCAGCTCTATGGAGCAGCGCATACCTGCGGATAAGCGCAGTGCAAAGCTCCCACCATTCCAGGTGCTGGTCTCGAAGATGTGCACGCCCAGGAGTCGATCGCGACTGAGACCAACTGAAATCGTATCCATTCGCTCTCCCACAAAACTTCGCACGATCTGCTTCCGAAGCGTCGTGGTGCAGCATCGTGGCGTTCTCAACAGCTCGGATCCATTCACCATACATAATAGAGAGCGTATCACGGGCCTCAGTGTCAGCATCCTGCGCAGCATGAGGACGCTGCACGGGCCGCCCTTCGTAGGGCTGGGCACGAACCTTACGCCAAAGATCCAGCGGGATGGCAAACGGCGTCGAGCCGATGGGGTGATCTCCCTTCTCTGGGTACAGCTCGTCGAAAGCAACTTGAAGGACTTCGGGTAGCTGCTCGCGTCGCCTCTGTTTAGTCTCGCTAATCTTCTTCTGCCTCTTACTGTCGGGGTCAGGCTGCCGACGAGGTCTGGAGACAGTGGGCAACGGCTTGGGGATCAACAACGTGCGAATCCACCAACTGACCCTACCCGCCTTCAATGTAATTGAGAGACCTGCATGCGTCTTCCATGGCACGTGTGGCACGATGTTAACACGAAGCGCATCAGCATTTTGGTGGGCGCGATCACGTAGTCAATCAGGGTGCCAGAACCTCTGTTGCACGTGACCTGCCCGTCGATGGGTAACTTCAGCTGCCCACCGAGCTTCGCAATCCAATCTGTGGTGTCCCATTCAGCAGGGGTGACATTCCAGTCGCCAACAAGAATCCAGGGATCTCTGATCAATTTTAGAAACCCAGCCAAACGTACCAAGGTCTTCTCACTATCGCCTCTCAACTTGTGTCCAGGAAGAAGGTAACATGCCACCACAACAATATTGCCAGCTCTAGTGTGCCACAAACCAGGACAAAAGCCTCGAAAGGGGTCTTCGACTCTGGAGGTAACGCCAGCTGTGCGCCAATGCTCGAAACTGGTGAGAAAAGTCGTCTTACGAGTAACCAACCATTCTCCTCCAGAGGTGCCATGCGCCGATCTGCCTGTCAGGACAGAGGGAGTAGCAAGAACTCTCCATCCATCTTTACTCATGTCCGCAACAGCACGAGATAGACGGTCGCCCCTCATATGCGTCTCAACTATGCCCAGGGTATCATATTCCCCGGCCTGACCACGAAAGAAACCTTGGGCTACAGGGCCCCACTCAGAGATGTTCGCGAAGAAAATATTACTGTCCGTCTTGATGGTGTGCTCAGAAGTCACCGCCGCTGTCGAAATCGGCGAGGTAGAGGTACCAACTCCAACACCATTCCCCATAGCTGCCACAGCCTTAATGCATGATGTGGGGTTTCCCAGGGATGAGGCACCCTGGGCGGCCGATGATGCATAGGTCGTACTGGTACTGGTAGCGCGCCCAAGCCAGGTCGGCTGCCGATCAGGAACGAGACGTCGCAGCAGCGGCCCCACTAGCAGCAGCAGGCCGAGGACCGAGGCCAGCAGTAGCCTTGCTCTCGACCTTGACCCTCGCCTGGGCCAACGCAGACTTGACCTGCTCTTTGACTGCCGCCTCCTCCACGGCGGGCTCGGACAGCTCATCGGTCGGTGAGGGGGGGGCGGCGGTCGGCGCGGCAGTGTCCTCGGCGCCAGACTCCGCCCCAGTCCCAGCGGCTGCGGCACCCTCTTCGTCGAGCCTGGAGCGCTTGGACGGCGACGCTCTGATCTCCTTGGCCCTCGCAGCCGCCTCCTGGACCGTCGCCTGCAGCTTGGCACCCTCCTCAACCTTGGCCTTGATGTCTGCTTCAATATTCGCGAGCTGCGCCTTCGCCTCGCCGTCGACATCCGATAAGTCCGTGAAAAGGGACTCGTCGTAGGCGAAGAGAATGCGCTTGCCGTCGGTGGTGTATCCTTCCTTCTGCGTAGACACTTCGGCCTGCTGCGCAAGCCTCTTGACCGCAGACTTGTGCTTGGCCTCCGCCTCAAGAAACTGCTGCGATGCAATGGCGACGTCGGCGTTGGCACGCTCCAGAGCCTGCTGAAGCTCGGTGGCACGCTCCGCTGCCGACTCCATGGCAGCACGCTTCTGCTCCATTGTGCGGTATAGCTGCTGAACTTCCCCATGCGGTTCCTTCGGCTTGACCAAGCTCTTCTGGTACTGGGAGCTCTGCGACTGCAACTTCTCGATGGCCGTGGGGTCGGACTTGAAGGCGGGGCAGGACGCCAGCATCGCGATAAGCGCCGACGTGTCGAGCCCTTGCCCAGGTCGCCGGTGACGTGGCCCATCGCGCCACGGCGGCCCGTCGCCCTGCAGACCACCACTCTTGGACTTGGAGACGTCAATGGGTGACCAACAGACACCGCACATGCCCCCATTCTTCTTGACACGAAAGTCGAACGCCCAGTTCCCACACGACGCGCAGACCGAATACGGGCTCCTGCGACCTGCAGCTGGCACCCGACCGTGCAGACAGACTCTGGACGGCAGCGCGCAGCTCCCCGTACAGGTCTCGAGAGAAAACGTCGGGCTGAACAGCCCTGGCACTGCCGCGGACTAGCGGTATCCACTTGTTCCCCTGAGGAACTCAACATCTTGAGCCAAAATGGCTACGGAGGAGGAGGAGATGGAAATAATGACGAGGAGGGAGAAGGAGAGGAGAAGCAAGATGAGGAAGAGGAGGAAGGCGAAGGCGAGGGGCAGGAAAATGAAGGGGGGGAGGAGGGCGAATGCGAAGGGGGTGGGGAGAAAGGCGACGGGGGGAAGGGCGAGGGAAAGAGCGACGGGGAAAGGGATGTGGAGGAGGAGGAGGAGGAGGCGGAGGAGGAAGAGGAGGAGGAGGAGGGCGAAGACGAGCAGGAGGAGGACGATGAGGAAGGCGAGCAAGACAGCAGGATGACGATGAAGGGTGGGAGGAGGCGGAGTAGCAGGATGACGAGAGGGAGGAGAGAATGGGAGGAGGAGGAGGAGGAGGAGGAAGAAGGAGGAGGAGAGCACGACAGGAGGAGGAGGAGGAGGCGGATGATGAGGAGGAAGAAGAGGAGGAGAAGGTGGAGGAGGAGGAGAATGAGGATGAGAAGTATCATAATAAGAGGAAGGGGAAGGATACGAGTAACAGGAGGATGATTATAAGGATGATGAGGAGGAGGAGGAGGAGGGGGAAGAACAACAGCAGGAAGAGGATGAGGCACAAGATCGGGTGGAGGAGTTTCCTGCCGCTCCCCGCCGCCGCCTCCTCCGCCAGTTTGTCGTCGCCTCGCACGTGTTCCCGTGTGCTCCGTTCCCCCTTACCCTCCGCGACGCCACGAGGAGCTCCCCTGAGCGGCCCCCCAACCCCCCCGGCGGGGCAAGGACCTGCCCGCCGCGCCGCCCGCCGCCGCGGGCTGGGCCGCTTTCGCCCCCGCGGCCCAGCCGCCCGCCTTCCAGGCCGACTTCGGCGGGCCTGCCGTGCCCCCGGCCGATTTTCAGGCCGACTTCGGCGGCGCCGCGGCGCCCGCGGCGCCGCCGGACGCCGGCTTCGTGGCCGACTTCGGCGGCTGGCCGGGCGAAGGCCGCTGGGGGGGGGGTCGGGAGCCTTGAGATGGGGGTCGATGCAAACGGGGGCCAGCAAGAGCGCCGGACCTTGCAGCATCCGGCGGAGCCAGAGCTAGGTGCACTGACCGGGGCCTGCGCGCAGGGTCTTGCAGGGTCTTGCAGGATCTTGCGAAGCCTGACTGGCCTGGGTTTGGATTGACCTGGGTCCGTAGATCCACGAGGGGGGGGGGGCGGGCCCGAGCCCAGGCCCCGAGGCGCCTTCCACCACAGGGGGCCTCTGGGGCTATAGTCTGCGGAATGCGGTGGTGGAGGAGGAGGAGGAGGAGGAGGAGGAGGAGGAAGAGGAAGATAATGAGGAGGAGGACCAGTGTTAGCCCAAAATGCATCAACGATGCTGCAATGCACCCTCCCTCCAAGTTCTCTCTCCATGGATCTCGAACAGAATTTGTTTTCATTGCGGGAAGAACCGCGTTGGAACACAACCGCTTTAGAATCCTCAACCTTGCCAGAACACCATTGTTGGGACTTCAGCGCTGCAAATCAACATGGCTGTGGCCTACTGCAGTCTTAAACCATGTTAGAACATCATTCCCTGGGAAATTGCCCCACGAATCAGCGTGACTGTTGCGTCCAGGCAATCCTGAAACTTCACGTCGAACGTACGAATCCCTAAAACTGTTGTAAGCGTTCGATACGAAAGCGCTAAAGAGAGGGCCACATTTTGAAAGGGAACCGCCCTGAATCCTTGCAACTGCTGCAAACCTTTCAGACAAGTGTGCGCGGCGCTAAGTCGAGACCCACATGCTGAAAATCACCCGCCCTCCATCCGTGAAGCTGTTGCACACTTTTCAAACGAGTGGGCACGGCGCTAATTAAGGCGAGAACCACATTTTGAAAACGGCCCGCCCTCCATCCGTGAAGCTGTTGCAACTTTCTAGCTTCAGGGCCATGAGCGGTGAGGCTCTCTCAGGCGAAACGCCCAGCCCGCCCTACCGATACGTCTGGGGGTGCGACAGGGATGAATCGTTTCCAAGGAAAAGGGATGGACGTGGGAGGAGGAGGGCGAGGAGGAGGAGGAGGAGCAGGCGGACGGACGTCGACGTCGACGTCGACGTCGACGTCGACGACGACGACGACGACGACGACGACGACGACGACGACGACGATGGCGACGATGCGGAGGAGACGGGCGAAGAGGAGGGAAAGGTGACGAGGGGAGCATCAAGACGGAGCCTTCTCGTCGTGATGCCTCTACGGCAGGTTGTGGTCCGGATCCTTCCGTGGACTTCACAAAAACGTGCCAGCATGCCGAGGGGGATCCAGCCGTGTCGACGAGTGCTTTCCCGGAGGCCAGAGGGCGCCTTCCCTTGAGGCCGAAGACCAGCCCTCGAACTTCGACCCTCGGGGTGGAGGAGCATCGCCGACCTCCCAGGGTCGCCTTGCGATCCGACTCGATGCGAATCGGTTCGCCGACCGAGGCCGCGAGTCCTCTTCGTGTCGGCTCGGCTCGATAATTATGCACCCGCATCGGCTGGGTCCAGCAAGCGCGGGCGTTACGCTCTCGAATTCGGTCCCATTCGGGGCGACTCGCCGGCGATCCGATCCGTTTGCGGTCCCGATCCGGCCAGGGCCCCAGAAACCAGCGCATTGCAGATCACGACCTTGACATTCTCGCTGGGGGGAACGGACACCAGGGATGCCTCGGCCCAGGCCTGCACACTTCTGGGGTACGCCGCTATTCTGGCTTAGCACTGTCCCCGTCTGTGGGGCCCTGATCCGCTCTCGCGATCTGGCCCGATCCGTCTCCGACCCGATCCGATTTCGCGATCCGACCTGGCTCCGCGACCCAATCCAGTGTCGCGAGTCGATCCATCGACCCGATTCGGACGGGCCTATAGAGTCGAGATACATCCGTTCCGGAGCGTTCTGGAACGCTCCCAGAGCGTTCTGGAACGTTCTGAAACGGCCGTGGCGCATCCTCCGAACCCGCCGCGCCCGAGCGCGGTCGCGGCGCCCGATACATATCCCCAACCCGCCGCGACTGGCACATCCTCCAAACCCGCCGATTCTCAGAGACTTCCGATGTATATCGGTCCGATGCTGCATCGATTCTGGGGCGTTCGTGAATGACGAAGCCCAGGAGGCCTCAGACCCTGGAGGATCCCATACTTGAGGAGGGCGGCGGCGATGTCCACGGCCAATCCACGATTGGAGCTCCACTGGCTTCCAGACCCTGGGTGCCTCATCCAATGGTTCCTCATCCGATGCCCTGGCCGTACCAGTGCCGACCCGACTTCCCGACCCGACCCGACTTGTGGGGTCCAAAACTTGGATAGCAGCGCGCCAGAGGGGCGTGCGCAGGCCTGTCGAAGATCTTCGGAAGGACCTGGATAGAGCTTCCGAAGGACCTTCTGGAGAGCTTCCGGGCACGTGTATCGGGAAACGCTTCGAAAGGGCCTGCCGGGACACGCTGCAGGCTCAAGCAGAGCGCGCCGAGGTGTCCTGCCGGAAACTGGAACGAGCTCCGGGGCTACCCTGCGGCTCTGGCTTCTCAATCTGAAAGCTTCTTGCCCAGAGATCCGACGTCGTGATTTTTTCCATGCGGGGTCCCCGGAAGTCTCGACCCAGTCCCGAGGACCGGCTTTCCATCCCGAGCCGTTTTTTGACGGTCCTGGGGCCCGGCGTGGGCCCTTGGGAGCTGAATACTGCGAGAAGCCTCCGTCTTGACTTTTTCAAGGCGAGGTATCACTGGGTAGCTCTCTACGAGCTATCTTCAGGAGGGAACACAAACACACAGACACAATGAATCGTCGATTCCCGAGAAAATATTAGAAAATATGGGAAGTGGGGGGGAAGACAAAAACCCAGAAAATATAAGAAAATGTAAGGAATCTAGTTATTTGTGTGTCCTGGTTCCCCTTCATCTTCTTCCTCCTCCTCCTCTTCCTCCTCCTCCTCCTCTTCTCCTCCCCTAACTCCAATCCCTCCTCCTCCTCCTCCTCCTCCTCCTCCTCCTCCTCCTCCTCCTCCTATCTGGGATTCTCGTGGTCCGATCCGGCTCGGGCCGGCCTCTCCTCCAGGAGCCGCAGCCTCGTCTCCCCGCCCGCGGCCCCCCCGCGGCCGGCCCCGCCAGGCGCGGCGGGCGGCCCGCCGGCGAAGGCCGCCTTCGAGGCCCCGCTGCCGCACGGCCGCCGGCGGAGGGAGGTCCGCCCCTCCCCCGAGTGGGAAGGCCTAGCGGCCTCCTCCTCCTCCTCCTCTCTCCTCCTCCTCCTCCTCCTCCCTCCTCCTCCCCTCCTCCTCCTTCCTCCTCCTCTAGGGGAACGAATAATGGCATAAACATAAAAACTCGGAGGTCCGCGCGGATTTCTCGGTCCGCGCTGGACCCCACTGGCGGCGCCTCCGGCGCCGCCCCTGGCGCGCTCCGCGCGCCAGGGAGGGGGGTCCCGCGCGGATCCGAGAAATCCGCGCGGACCTCCGAGTTGTTATGTTTATGCCACTTTTTGTTCTCCTATCCTCCTCCTCCGCAGGCCCTGAAGGGGAACGGCGACGACGACGACGACGGCGGCGGCGGCGACGACGACGACGCTGACCCTCTCCCCCGTTCAGACCCCCTAGCGTCGTGCCAAAATCGCGACGGGAGGTTTCTCTGTATGTTCGGCCTCCCGGGGCCCTTCCTCGGGGCGACTCAGGATGAAAAGCCCGTCCCAGGGAAGGCCTAGCGGCCGGCGCTGCCGACCCTGAAGGGGCAACCGCGACGACGGCGGCGGCGGCGGCAGCGGCGACGACGACGACGACGATGCTGACGCTCTGGAGCCTTTCTTCGAGCTCTCTTGGGAGCCGCTTGGGCTCTGTTGGGGCTTGGGCTGGGGCCGCGGCTGGGGCCAGGGCCAGGGCCTCTCCCCCGATTGCAGTCGGGTCGGACAAAAACCCAGACTCCCTCGCGTTGTGCAATCAAAGTGACGACTCGAGTTTTGTTCGCTATATTTCCGGCCTCGGGGGGGGGGGGGGACTGTGAAACATCTCGGCTCAGGATGAAGCACTGGTCGCGGGGAAGGGGTCCAGATCTTTGGGGGTCGACGTTATGAAGAGATCGCGACGTCGGGGGTCTGGGAAAGGGGGGTTGGGAAAGGGGGCGTTACGAAATCTGTTGCATGCAATTGTTTTCTGCCCCGCCGCCGGGCCCATTCCTCGATGCATGGGCGCTTCCCAGCGCCAGCAGGCGCCAGGAAAAGCTTCTACGTGAGCTGATTACCTACCCTACCCTTTGCTATCCTACCCGTTCGTCTCCCTGACTTCAAACTCAGTCAATCAAACAATGTGCCATATGCCCGTTGGCGCGTGGATGAGACAACGCATTGTACAGCGCTGCAACTAGTTAGTTGGTTGGCGCATGTCTCTGCAAGCGCTTTGCTTTCAATTTCAGGCGTGGCCCAGATTGGTGTCCCCGGGGCCGTTTGCTGGCCGTTTGTCTCATTGTCTCAAGCTCTTTGTTTGCATGTGCAAATGAAGCAGATAATGCAGAGCTTCGCGATTGTCCGCCCGACCCCGCCGAGCCAACTCTACTGAGCCGAGCCTCCGGTAGGGCGCGTGGGCAGACGAATGCGCAGTTTCCACCACGCTGGAAGCGAGAGAGCAACAGTATCACGAGCATGACGCAGAAGAACGGAACGCCCCACGATTGTGAAACAGGAAACAGAGCGCAACGCGACTGCGAAGCAGAATCTGCACGAGCACGGGAGGAGGACCAGCATTAGGAGTAGGAGAGAGGGAAGGACGAGCAACAGAGCACGAGCGAAACGCAGATTCGTCAACGAACTCCGTAGCAAAACGGCACTCGGAGCCCCGAGTCATCCGGTGCGGGGGCAGCCAGGGGCAGCTAATTATAGAGCTAGCCCGGAACGAGAATATCCCGGAGAGTTCGGGCGTCCAAGCCGTTGTCGCCGTTGTCGCCTGTGTGCCTCCCGTTTCGGGCCTCGTCGCGGAGCTCGGCGCCTGGCCGCTGCCGTGCAGCCGCGCTGGACTGCACCACAGGGCGCCGCTGGCCGCCCCTCGGCCGCCACGGGGGCCGCATGGCGGGCAGGGCGCGCTGGGGCTGATTTCCGACATCCCCGGCCCAGACAGCTTCGGGCGCACATCGCCGCGGCTCGCTTGTGGCGGGTCGGGTCGACACGCGTGGTCTCCCCACCGCACGTGCCCACAGCGGGCTCACTGGCAAGCAGTTTGAGTGCAGAGGGCCCCTTGGCCACGGTGCACGGGCATGCCGCGCGCCCCGCGCGCGAGGGCCCCGCACTCAGCTGCTGCGCCCTGCCGCCGCGCGGTGACCACACCGCGCGAGGAGGCGGTGGGGGGCTTCGGGTCTCGTCGCAGAGCTTGACGCCTGACGCCTGGCCGTTGCCGTGCAACCGCGCTGGACTGCACCACAGGGAGCCGCTGGCCGCCCCCTCGGCCACTGTGCACAGGCACGCCGCGCGCCCCGCGCGCGAGAGCCCCTCGCGCGGTTGCTGCGCCCCGGTGGCCTCGCCGCGTGGTGAGGCGGTGGGGGTCCTCGGGGCGGCCGCGCAGCTTTTGGGATGCCCGGGCCGGTCTCTCCGAGGCCCCTCGGGAGCCCGGGGCCTCCGAGGTCCCCACGCGGTGCGGTGGCCGTGCGGAGGGAGTGCCTTCCCCTGCTGCTGCTGCTCCTCCTCCCTTACCGGGGCTCGTTTCGACTCCTCCGACTCGACTTCGATTCGATCTCGACGGCTTCCGATTCCGATCCGGTTCGACTTGGGGTTCGGATCTGGGCTCCGATTCGTTACTGGAAGCATACCAGCCTGCCGACTTCTGCGCATTCGACTTCTCCCGACTCGGCTGCCGATTTCCGCCGATCCGATTCGTTTCGATCGCCGGTCCGACGTATCGATTCGATTCTGGGCGCTCCTGCCCTCCCCCCGGGGGACGTCGCAGGGAATCGTCACACCGCGCCCTCGTCCCTCCTCCTCCTGCTGCTGCCTCCTGCCGCTGCTCCTCGTTCGTCCTCCGCACGGATCTCACTCGTCCCTCCTGCACGGCTCGTGCCAGCAAGTCGGCGTTCGCGCGCTCTCCCGGGCATGGAGACCGAGAGAAGCGAGGTGGTGGTGGCGCCCTGTTCCTGAGGGAAGAGCTGCGCCTCCCCCCTCGGGCGTCTTCGGACGTCTTCGTCGACCCCTGTCGGTCGTCTCGCCTCCGGGACGCCTTCCAGCAGCTGCGCTCCGCCGGAGAAGCGCGCTCCGGGTGTGCCACGGGATTGTCCCGGTCGGCCGACGGAGGCCGGAGGTCTGAGCGGAGGTGTGCCCCCGAGGGCCCGGCTCGCGGCCGTGGGGCTCCGGATGTCTTTTAAGGACGTCTCGAGGTCTCAACGTCAAGCAGTGGCGAAGCATACTGGCTCGCCTATAGCCCTGACAAACACACTGTTCTAAGAACCTTTTGTGTTTCCCACGAAATGTTCTTAGAGCATTTCTGGCTGGAGTTTGTCCTGTTCTACCACATCGGGTTTATGTTCTAAGAACATTGCTTTTGTTCTAGAACATTTGGGAGTTCTAAGAACATTTCGTGGTAGGACTATAGGAATGCCGGGACGGTCGGTCCCTGCTCAAGTTGTGGGACTTTGGATGCTCTCCAAGGATGTCTCGAGGTCTCAAAAGACGGTGCGGTGACGGATCGTGCGATGAGGTCTTCGGGACTTCGGGGGGGGGGTCCGCTGTCACCGCGCGGAGCACCGCGGCGCTCTGGGTCCCGCGATTGGTATTCCTCCCCTCCCGCACAGGGAGGCGTGGTCTCTCGCTTGGATGCAGGGAGTCACCCCGGACCTCCCAGGATCTCGCGAAAGTGCGGGCAGTTGCGCGGCTGGCAGCGCCCAGGGGGGCGAGGTCCAGTTTGGGTCTGCATAGGGCGTCACTTCACAGCGCCTCGCCGGAGCTCACGGAAGTGCGGACAGGTTCAGAGCGGCAGCGCCAAGGGAGGCGAGGTCTCGTTTGGATTTGCGGAGGGCGTCACCCCGCTGCACCTCCCAGGAAGTCCCGAACGCGCGGACAGTTGAGTAGCTGGCAGCAGCGCCCAGGCAGGCGAGGTCAAGTTTAGATCTGCGCAGGGCGTCACCCCGATGGCCCAGGAGCAAGCGAAAGTAGTGCGGGCATTTGCGCAGGTGGCAGCGCCGGGGGTTGGGGAAATAGTCTGGATCTGCGTACCCGCTGTACCTCCCAAGAGCTCAGGACAGCGCGGACAGTTGCGCAGCTGGGAACACCCAGGAGTGGAAATCTCACTTGCTTATTTGATCCTCTTAGGGCGTCACCCGCTGCAGCTCCAAGGAGCTCACAAAAGGGTGAGCAGTTGCGCTGGCATCCCCCGGAAGGGGGGGGAAATCGTTCGTATCTGCGTAGGAGCGTCATTCCGCTGGCCCCCCCCAGGAGTTCACGCAAGTGCGGACAGTTGAGCAGATGGCAGCGGCCAAGGAGGGGAGCAATAGTTTTAGGTATGCGCAGGGTCGTCACCTCGCCGCACATATAAGGAGCTCACGAAAACGCGGACGGCTGAGCAGCTGGCAGCGCCCTGGGGGGCGACATCTAGTTTGGGTCTGCGCATACTCCGATCGTTGGAAGTAGGGCCTCAGCCTGGATTCCCAGATCCCAATCTAATTACGTCAGGCGCCTTCCTACTTCAAGGATCGAGAGGCTTCCGTTTTTCTCTCGTCTTCAGGGAGGCGGGTGGAAGCCCAATCTACTACCAACGCCTCCCCACTTCATGTTTCTATCCTCTTCTTCCGACCGACGGGTAGTGGTGTCACTTTGCTGCACGTCTAGGTTCCTGCGCAGCGCCCAGGGAGGGGAAGCGAGGACGCATCGAAGACTAACGGAAGAGCACGTGAGGAGGCGGTGAGAGTGAGGGGAGGCGGGAGGCGGGAGCGAGGAGGAGCGGAAGAGGAGTGAGGAGGCGGGAGAAGGAAGGAGGAGCAACAAGTGAGCGACGATCAAAAACGGGCCTTACGCGAGATGACATAGCGATCTTACGCGGTGACTTACGCGGGCCCCGGGCCGCCATCGCGGCACGCCACAATGCAGACGAGGGTGCTTACGCGCGACCTCACGCGGGCAGTTTACGCGCCAATGTCGGCGCAGACGACCCTGGTTTTCCGGCGTCGCCCAGGTGTCCTATTCAAAACGAAAGCCCCAAGGAGCTCTTCTGGTGTTGGTTCGCCTACTACTTATCATTCGTGCAGGCCCGTGGGGTGGCCATCCGCCACCACGGCCAGACGACTCGCGGGCGGGAGTGTCCGGCGCGGCGCCTGGAAGTGTTCCAAAAGCACAGGTTTGTAGCGGATTCTGGCCCGGCAGGGAGAGCAGAGACGGAAGGAGGACACGGAGGGCAGACGAGCCAGGCGCGCGCAAACAGACGCCAGGCCGACTTCGGTGCAGCGCCCATGCCTGCGCTTGCGGCGCACGACAACGGCTTCGAGATCACCAAGCTGACACCGGACCTGGGGTTGGAGGGGCTGGGCCTTGTCTGGACGCTCGCATTTTTGCCGCTCCTCTGGCCCTCGGGGTTCTCCTCGCCGCCGTGGCCGTGCTCGCCTCGGGAAGATGAAGAGAATGCCAAAGACACAATGGTTGACGCTTCGCGTATCCCCACCAGCTCGACTCGGCGCCTGCATCCGTAGCCATTTTGGCGCAAGCCGTTTCCGGCTTGAGCGATGGCTCCACCCACCGCCGGCGACCTCGCCGCCCCTGCGCGCGCGGGCGCGCGGGCTCGCGAGCGGGCGCCCGGCCCGAGGCCGCCAGGGCCGCCCGCGGGATGCAGGGCGCCGACCGGCCCTGCGGCGGCCGTCCGCCTGCCGAGCCCGCCGAGCCCGCGGGGGGCGTCTGCTGGAGCCCGGCGGACCGCGACGAGTCGTTCGTGTTCCTGGGCTGGCCGCTGGTGAAGGGCCGGCGTGCCGACGCGTCCACGGGCTGGAGCGGTTGCCGGGCCTCGAGGGGCATCGCCCAGGGCCGCGGCGCTTTCGCGGTCCGCAACGAGAGCGGCGGCAACATGCGGGTGGGCTGGTCGCTGGGCGGTGCCACGCTGGAGCTCGGCATGGACGACAGGTCGTTCGGCTACGGCGGCACCGCGACGAAGTCCCACGCCGGCAAGTACGGCAAGTACGGCCAGACGTACGGCAAGGGGGACATCGTCGTGGCGCTGATCGACCTGGAGAGGCACGCGCTCGGCTTCATGAAGAACGGGCACGCCATTCCCGGTGACGCCTGGGCGATCCCGAGGCATTTGTGGGGAGAGCCCTTCTTCCCCCACGTGCTCGTCAAGGAGGCGACGGTCCTGGCGTACTTCGGGGGGCCGGGCTGCCCCTTCCCGCCGCAGCGCCTCCCAGCCGGCTTCTCCTGGCTCTCCGCCCTGCCCCTGACGCCCTCCCGCTTGCCGTGCGACCTCGCCGCGGTGCGGGTGGAGGCAGCCGACGCGGTGGCGGAGGTGGACGTCTCCCAGCTGGAGCAGGGGGCGCACCGCCATCAGTTCGAGGACTGGAAGGTGAAGGTGAACGCCTACACCGGCCACTTCCGGCCGCTCCTCGCGTGCGAGTACGAGGCCGAGAAGGAGGCGGTGCGCCAGCGGGTGCGGCGCGGCACGCGGCAGCTGGAGAGCACCGGGCACGGCTGCGCCGGCCTGCGGGCAGCTCTGACCGACGGCCGCGTGGCGCTGACGCGCCCGGGCGGCATCCCGCGGCTGCCGGAGCTCGGCGTCGGGCGCTCGGTTCTCATCACGGAGGAAGAAGGCGCCGTGGACCTGGACAACCCCAGCGTCTCCATCGGAGGAGAGATCGACCGCATCACGGACGGGGCCATCGTGGTGTCCACAACCTACGACCGCCTCCCCGAGGGGCGGCTCTTCCGAGTGGACCTGGGCCCCAACATGTCCACATACGAGCGCATCGACCGCGTACTGGACATGCTGCAGAGCTGCGAGAAGCCGTCGAAGAAGGTGAAGAGCAGGATGGGCATCGTGTCGCCCGGCACGCCACTCGCGGATGCCGTCTTCGCCGACGTCGCCGAGACGTCGATGGCGGCGCTGCGGTGGGACCCCTCCACGCGCCCGAAGGCCAGCACGAGCTCGGACGTTTCCTCGGCCGCGCGGCAGGCGCACGCGGCCGCGCCGCCGCGGCCCCCGGCCGAGGCGCCGCCCGAGCCGCGTCAGCTGAACCCGTCGCAGCAGCGGGCGGTGGACATCGTGCTGGAGGAGCAGCGCCGCCTGAGCCTCCTGCAGGGCCCCCCGGGCACGGGCAAGACGACCACCGCGGTGGAGGTGGTGGTGAGCTGGCTGAGGGCGCACCGTGGCCCCGTCCTGGCCACGGCGTTCTCGAACAAGGGCGTGGACAACCTGGCCCAGGGGCTGCACAGACGCGGCGTCACCGTGCTCCGGGTGGGCGCCTGCGACCCAGACCTGCCGTACTCGATGGAGTCGCATTTGGAGTATTACGGCCACGCGGGCAAGGGAAAAGGCAAGGGCGCCGCCAAGGGCGGCCAGAGCGACGTGATCCGCAAGGCGGACGTCGTCTGTGCAACCGTGATCGGCTCCGGCATGGGCCTGCTCCGTTCCTCCGACTTCCGCTTCGTCATGGTGGACGAGGCCGCCCAGATCATCGAGCCGGCGAGCCTGATCCCGCTGTCCAAAGGCTCGGTTCAGGTGGTGATGGTCGGAGACCAGTGCCAGCTCCCCGCCACCGTGCTCAGCCACGAGGCCCAGCAGGGCGGGCTGGACGTGAGCCAGTTCGACCGGCTTATCTCGATGGGCATGGAGATCCACATGCTGAGCATCCAGTACAGGATGCATCCTGCCATAGCGGAGTTCCCCAGCCAGCGGTTCTACGAGGGGAGGCTGGAGGCGGGCGTGCGCCCGCAGGACCGCCCCTGCCCGACGCCCCACGGCCTCCAGCTCGGCCCGGTGGTCGTGGTGCACGTGGGCGCGGCCGAGAGCTCGCAGGGCATGTCGAAGTCCAACGCGGGAGAGGCCAGCTGCGTCGAGTTCCTGCTCCGCGCCCTGCGGCCCACCTGCCCGCTGGACGACGTGGGCGTGATCACGCCGTACAGCGCCCAGGTCTCCCTGGTGCGCCGGGAGCTCGGGCGGGGCCTCGGGCACGACGCGGAGCTGGTGCAGGTCTCCTCGGTGGACGCCTTCCAGGGCTCGGAGAAGGAGGCCATCATCCTCTCCATGGTGCGCTCCAACCCCCGTGGAGACATCGGCTTCGTGGGCGACTGGAGGCGCCTCAACGTCGCCGCGACGCGCGCGAAGCGGCTGCTGGTGGTCGTCTGCAATGTCGCGACCCTGGGCCGCCACGCGCTCTGGCGCGACTTCCTCGGCTACGGCGCCGGGATCTGCGCCCTCGAGTGGGACGGCCGAGGCCTGGCGCCGCTGTCCGCCGGGGAGCCCTGGCAGGCCCTGGCTGGGGCCCGGGGCGCCCAGCGGCCCGGGCCGCTGCCGCTGCGCGGCGACTGCCCCACGGAGGGCGGCGGCGCCCCCGGCGGTGACCTCTCCTGGGACTCGGCGGCGCCGGTGGCCGAGGAGCCCAGCGGCGACGAGTGGGACGCGGGGCCGCCGGACGCAGATGCAGATGGGTGGGGCGACGCGCCAGTGGCCGCCTGCGAAGGCGGCCAGCCGGACTGGTGGGACCCCCAGCGCGACGGGGATGTCCAGTTGTGTCGCCTCGCTGTGGGCGATGACGGTGCGCTGGTGGACCTGGAGACTACGCGGTGGGGCATGCGGGTGGAGGGCATCGACCCGCGCTCCCGCAACCGCTTCGAGGTGGGCAGCACCATCGTGGGCATCGCGGGAGTGGCGCTGGAGCAGGAGGATGGCTCAGACGATGCCCTCCTCCAGGTGGAGGACGCGTTCCGCCGGAATTTCTGGGACGGGGCCGAGGTGCTGCTCGCGGCTCAGGAGGAGCGCCTGGTCCCCCCGGGCGCCGCCGCACGCCGCGCCCTCGAGCTCTGCGGCGCGCTGGGCGTGGCGGCGGAGCCCTGCCCGCAGGGCGTCCTCGTCTACGGGCCTCGCCGAGCGCTCGACGCGCTGGAGGACCACCTGGGGGCCCGCGCGTGAGAGCGGCGGAGAGGCCGACCGCTCCGTCCGCCGCTGGGCCCGGCGCCGGGGCCGAGGGCCAGACGTCGCAGGCGGCGACAGCGCGCCTCGCCGCCGCACCGGCGGGCCCGCTCGGCGCGACGGGCCGCGCGCGTCGGGCGGGGGCCGAAGGGCTGCGCCGGCCCTGCCCCGCCCAGGAGCGAGATCAAACAAAAAAAAGTCATCACCTACGGCACTGTGAACAGCGCTTGCGAGAAGAGCAGGCGTTGGCAGTGGTAGCCGGTTGTGGCGCTGCGGAGCGAGATCTCGGTCGTGAAGTTGGCGCCCAACATCACCTACGGCGTCCTGAACAGCGCGTGCGAGAAGAGCATGCGTTGGAAGTGGCAGTGGGCAGTGGCGCTGCTGAGCGAGATAGTGGTCGTGAAGCCGGAGTCCGCCAACATCACATAGGGCATTGTGAACAGGACGTGCGAGAAGAGCAGGCGTTGGCAGTCGCAGTGGGCTGTGGCGCTGCTGAGCGAGATCCTGTTCGCGAAGCTGGAGCCCGTTATCATCACCCACGGCACTGTGAGCAGCGCGTGCGAGAGGAGTAGGCGGTGGCAGTATATGTATACTTATCAGAGTGAGGGGGCCGAACGGTCATTAACTGTCCCTGGGTGCGTGGCTGAACTGGGATTCCGCGATGCGGAGTATTGTTTTATTATTATTATTGTTGTTGTTGTTGTTGAACATTATTTATTCTAAAGAATAATTATTGTTGGGCCCCCTGGTGCGCGCCCCCCCTGCGCCGCCTAGGCCGCAGCTACATTTTCATCATTTTCGTGAGGAAGCCTCAGAAAAGAGGGTGTGTACAGGATCCGGTTGTTTTGTTGTAATCCGCTTTCCCTTGCAAAAAACAATAGAAAATGACATTTCTTGTTCTAATATAATCAAATTTCAAGAATCCCTTGCAAAAAATAAGGTAAAGTGGACATTCGCGCGCGCAAGACGAAATCCTTCCAAAACCTTAGTGTTCGCAGCGATTTTAACATAAAAACATCAAAAAACCAATGGTTTTTCAACAAAAAATTGTCAAAATCTCATCCCGCGCGCTCTTGCGGATTCGTAGGAAACCCAACACTTTTTAAACATTTCTGTCAAACGGGCTTTTGCGAGCAACTTTTTCGAACTTCTGCGACAACGGTTGCGCACCTGCCAGGGCCATCATCCCTGTCAAATAATACCATGCGGGACACATTCGTTTTTTCTTCGCGCGCGCACGCCGTCGTCGTCGGCCGCGGGGCCCTGAATAGTAGCCACGGTCGTCCGCATGCCACGAAGTGAAGTGTCCGAACGTCATAGGGCGGGAAGCTGGGTGTGGGTGGTGGCGAAGAGTCGTGTGGATATTTGGTAGAGCTTGCACTGCCCCCCCACAAAGTGGGGGTATTGGCTGGCGTCGCATGAAAACCCTGGCACTGGTGAGAACACTGAGCGTTCGGGTAAAGTGATTGTTGTTGTTGTTGTTGTTGTGGTTTGTTGTTTGTTGTTTGGCGTCGTCCCCCTGCGTCCCGGCGGCCTGCGACCCACCCGCGACCCACCCCGCGACCCATCCGCGACCCATCCCGCGACCCACCCGCGACCCACCCCGCGGCCCACCCGAGACCCACCCGCGACCCACCCCGCGACCCACCCGCGACCCACCCGCGACCCGCCCGCGACCCACCTGCGACCCACCCGCGACCCACCCTCACTCTTATCCGCGGCTGCGGGGGTGTTACGTGCGTGTGTGTGTATATGTATATATATATATATATATATATATATATATATATATATATATATATAGCTGTATGTTTGTATGCTGGGGCACGCCTGCTCCCACGTTTTATGTACCGACACAGTTGTATACATAATGTATAGATGTAAATAGTCCGTTGTTGTGTGCGTGTGTGTGTGTGTGTTGTTTTTGTGTGTTTGTCCGCGAATAGTATTGCGAGTTGTTAACTTGATGTGGCAAATGGCAAGGTCGACCAAACTTGGCATGAACAACCCACCAAATTGGACGCTCTCCCGGCATTCCAGTGGGAGAACACCCAGACTTGCAGGATAAAATATCCCGGCAAAGCAACCGAACAGCGATGTGTATAAGCATATCTGGAAGCATTCCCCTTAAGATTCAGGTGACGACCCAGTTGTAGAATTCTGCTGTTCTCGCAGTCGCAGTCGCATTCGCAATGACAGTCGCAGTGACAGTTCTAGGGATTCCTAAGGCATCCTTACGCATCCTTAGGAATCCATCGGAATCCTTAGGAAACCTTGGGAATCCTTAGAAATCCTGATTCCTAGGGATTCCTAGGGATTCCTAAGGATTCCTATGGGATCCTAAGGATTCCAAAGGATTCCTGAGGATGCTTAACTATGCCTACGGATTCCTAAGGATGCCTACGGATTCCTAAATATTCCCAAGGAGTCCTAAGGATTCCTATGGATTCCTACGGATGCCTCAGCCTGCCTCAGTTTCAGCCTCAGCCTCAGCCTGCATCGGCTTGCCTCAGCCTCAGCCTCAGCCTGCCTCGGCCTCAGCCTCAGCCTGCCTCAGCCTCAGCCTCATCCTGCCTCGGCCTCAGCCTGCGTCAGCCTCAGCCTCAGCCTGCCTCAGCCTCAGCCTCAGCCTCAGCCTCAGCCTCAGCCTCAGCCTGCCTCGGCTTGCCTCAGCCTCAGCCTCAGCCTGCCTCGGCTTGCCTCAGCCTCAGCCTCAGCCTACCTCGGCCTCAGCCTGCCTCAGCCTCCCCTCCTCCCCCCCCTCCTTCCCCTCCCATTCAGCCTCACCTTGTCTCAGCTTCGGCTTGCCTCGGCCTCATCCTCAGCCTCAACCTCAGTCTCAGCCTCAGCCTGTCTCGGCCTGAGCCTGCCTCGGCCTCAGCCTCAGCCTGCCTCAGCCTCAGCCTGCCTCAGCCTCAGCCTCAGCCTGTCTCAGCCTCAGCCTGGCTCAGCATCAGCCTCAGCCTCAGCCTCAGCCTGCCTCGGCTTGCCTCGGCCTCAGCCTCGGCCTGCCTCGGCCTCAGCCTCAGCCTCAGCCTCAGCCTGCCTCAGCCTCAGCCTCAGCCTGTCTCGGCCTGAGCCTGCATCAGCCTCAGCCTCAGCCTGCCTCAGCCGCAGCTTGCCTCAGCCTCAGCCACAGCCTCAGCCTCAGTCCAGCCTGCCTCAGCTTCAGCCTCAGCCTCAGCCTGCCTCGGCTTGCCTCAGCCTGGCTCGGCCTCAGCCTCAGCCTGAGCCTGCCTCAGCCTCAGCCTCAGCCTCTCAGCCTCAGCCTGCATCAGCCTCAGCCTCAGCCTCAGCCTGCCTCAGCCTCAGTCTCAGCCTGTCTCAGCCTCAGCCTGGCCCAGCCTCAGCCTCAGCCTGCCTCGGCCTCAGCCTGCGTCAGCCTCAGCCTCAGCCTGCCTCAGCCTCAGCCTCAGCCTGCCTCGGCGTGCCTCAGCCTCAGCCTCAGCCTGCCTCGGCCTCAGCCTGCCTCAGCTCGGGCATTCAAAATATGGAACAGGACTGGTGTCCTGGGAACACGAAGATCACGAAGTGGCCCACAGTTGGCTCAGGGCAATCAAAATATGGTACAGGAATTGTGTTATGGGAACACGAAGAACACGAAGTGGCCTACAGTTGGCTCTGGGCATTCAAGATGGGGCCTGGGAATGGTGTTCTGGGAACACGAAGATCACGAAGTGGCCCACAGTTGGCTCTGGGCAATCAAAAGGTGGCCTGGGAATGGTGTTCTGGGAACACGAAGAACACGAAGTGACCTACAGTTAGCTCCGGGCATTCAAAATATGGCCTGGGAATGGTGTTCTGGGAACACGAAGAACACGAAGTGGCCTACAGTTGGCTCCGGGCATTCAAAATCTGGCCTGGGAATTGTGTTCTGGGAATGGATTCCTAAGAATTCTTAAGAATTTTCAAAGATTCCTAAGGATTTCTGGGGCTGACCCTCTTGTCCGGTTTTGTCCGGATCCCGCCCAGGCACCCCTGGGGCGTCAAGATGGTGAGACTACTAGAAACCTATCAGCAAAAGTTGTTAGGTAAAAAGGCTGCTAAGGAAAAGTAAGGAAGCCCAAGTGGCCCCTAGCCCCCTGCTCGCGCGGGAACAAGGACAGGGGGACAGTCATCCCACACGCCTTCTCACCCCCAGCCAGCGAGGGTCGGCGACTTTTTTTGAGGCGTTGGAGATCTGCGCCCTCCGCCCAAACCCTTTCGAAACCAGTGACCCCTCCCCGGGCCCGTCTTTGCCAGTGCGCCTTGGGCCGCGGTCAGACAGCGACAAGAAGCCCCCCGAAAGCCAGAACATGCAAAAAACGACGAGGATTCTCCCACGTTGCAATTTTTCCGTGACTGGGGACCTCGACCCCAGCCTCCGATTCCGAGCCGATTTTTGACAGCCCCTTGGACCCGGATACGAGCTTCTGTAGGCCGAAAACGTGGCATCATTGGGAACCTCGACCCCTTCCCATGAGCTGTTTGTTGGCAGTTGGGAGAGAAGCCTCCGAGGGCCGTGAACGCTGAGAGACCCGCCACCGCCTGGCACCCGAGGGGGGCGTAGCCAGCGAAATCGGGCCCGGGCTTCGCCGCAAGCCCGCACGGCTGGCACGGGGGCCGACCGCAGCGAGAGGGGCACGCGCCCCACAAGCTCTCGATGGGCTGTGCCTCCCGCCGCGTTGGGACCTGCGTTCGTGCTGGGTGTTTCAATGGGTCCTGGGGCTTGGCATCGCTCGGACGTGTGAATTTTTCCGTCGGCGAGGACCATCGAGGAGCATCCTTGATCATTTCGCGAAAAAACCCCGCACGGAACCGAAAAAAACACAGGAAATGGACGTCCGAGCGATGGCCAGGGGGCCTTCGCCGCGGGGGCCCACGCCTTTAACCCACGGCCTCGTGGCGACGTCTTCGGCCGCAGCCCCGCCGGCGCCCCCAGCGAGGAGCCCCAGGCCAGCCCCGCGCCGGCGGCCGAGCCCGCCGCCGTCCCGGCGGACCCGCCGCCTGCCGCGGCGCCGCAGCCCGCCGCCGTGGCGCCAGCGCCGGTGGAGTCCCAGGAGCCACAGGTGGTGTCGGCGACGAAGG